GCGGGTGATGTCGGTGATGCCCTGGGGGTTTTGATCCTGAATGAACTGCTTGGTCAGCACGCTGACCGATTGCGGGATGTTCAGCAGCGGCGTGTTGGTCTTGGTCGCGCTCGAGGTGCTGTTGGCGAAATGTCCCACAGTGCCGGTGCGGGAATCATGGGTATCGGCGGGGCGCGAAGGGGCAGCTTCTGTCTCTTATACACATCTAGATGTGTATAAGAGACAGACTCAGGTCTGCCAAGGCTAGGTCGACGTGGTTAACGAGTGATTAACGCGTCATAAATGCGTCGCGAGTCGCCGGCAAGCCGGATTTTTGGGGGAGGGATGTCCATGCTCCGGGGCATGGCGCCGCTTCGCTTCCTTGCGACGACGCCATGCCTGGCGCCATCAGCTAGAACTTCGCGGCCGCCGACACCCGGAAGGTGCGCGATGCGCCGGGCGAGATGTTGTTGTTGCCGTCGGCCGAGGCCCAGTAACCCTTGTTGAAGATGTTCTCGACATTGAGCTGGGCCCGCCACTGCTCGTTGATCTTGAGGTAGACGGCTGCGTCGACGCGCACGAAGCCCGGCAGCCGGACGGTGTCGTCAGAGGACGCGTAGGAGTCGCCGAAATAGATCACGCCGACGGCCGCCGCCCACATCGGATTGATCTGGTATTTGTTCCACAGCGAGACCTGGTTGTAGGGAACCAGCTGAACGCGGTTGCCCACCACGATGGTGGGCGTCGACTGGCTGGTGACCCGCGCGTCGGTATAGGCGTAGCCGAGCGTCGCCTGCCAATCATTGGTGATCGTGCCGTTCAGCGCGGTCTCGAAGCCGTTGATCTCCTGGCGGCCGCTCGGGATCGGATTGGAGGAGCCGTCGGGGTTGGTCACCGGCACGTTGGTGCGGTTGAGGTGATAAAGCGCCGCGGTGTATTGCAGGCGCGGCAGGATGTTCCACTTCACGCCCACTTCCGTGTTCTCGAATTTCTGCGGCTCGAAATTCTGCGTGGCTGCGGTCAGCGAGCTGAACTGATCGCCGGACGCCGGCAGATACGAGATGCTGTAGGCACCGTAGATCGACAGACTGTCGATCGGCTTGACGATTACGGCCGCCTGCGGCGAGAGCTTGTTGTCGACGCGACTGCGCTGGGTGAAGGTGTTCTGGTCGGTGGCGGTCAGGTCGAAACGATCGTAACGCACGCCCGCGATCAACTGCACCCAGCGTGTGATGTCGATC